TCAAGGTAATTTTAAATTCATAAAGTTACAATGAACATAACTTATTTTATAATGTTTTAACGTGTTTCATCTTAATAGTGTTCCTATGCGATTCATTCTCTCAAGCAATTTTGTTTACTCAAACACTGCTGGCCCAAGCAAACTCAGACTTTGACGTCACCCCATTTTAAAAAATTTGCAACAATATAAAACACCAATGTAAAATAGAGTAGCTAATTTTTTTACAGTATGCAGCACACAATATCGCAATTGTGAGACTACAGTGCTACTTTCAAAATGGCGACTCGAAGGTCAACACATGAGAAAGGTTTGTGATCAAAAAACATTTATTTTTTCATTATTTATTGTAATTTATGAATGTACTTTCGCCATGCCATCCCCCTGAATTCAAACACCCTAGGCCATTGCCTAGTTCACCTTTATGAATGGGCTGGCCCTGCTCATAAGAATAATGATTCCATGTTCTTCTGCTAACTTTTGCAATATTTCTAAATTTTGTATCAAATTCAAATCAAATATGAAAGAATTTGAAGTTTTCTTTACCATGAAGACAAGCTAAGAAAAATTTGGAAGTACTAGGAAGAAAGTTTATTATATATTGTGTCTATTAATTTCATGTCTCAATAAGAAAATGTAGCTAGTAGTTGTACTGTCGTATCATTAATTGGTTCATATGGTTTTGCCAGCATTCACAAAGAAACTGCTTCTGACAAAATAGATGATGATTAAACAGATGTGCAAATATTTGTCAGACTATCAATTTTGATTAATCTGAATAAGTTAATTTATACACTTCAGATAACTCTGTCAGCATTACAATTCTGAAAATATTATCCTGTTAGTTTATTGTCACTTCTCGTATTTAAAAAGTTTTCAGAATAATTTTCTCCATTTGCAGATGTGACAATACTGCAGGACATTCATGCATACCAAAATATGGTAGCAATTCTCTACTACATGTATGTGCAATTTAGAAATTCATGTGTAGTTCATTGTGCAGGTGTATTCTTTTACAAGTATTATATCTGTATGTAGATAGCATTATGAGGAAAATGTAATGTAAAAACTTTAATCATACAATTCATTGCTCTAAATGTTTGGTAAAGTGATGGATCATCAATGAACATTCAAGAAAAATTGAAAAAGATTTACAAGATAATACGTCAAACAATACAACTGAAAAAAATAAGAGGATGAAAGTCAATCAAAAGATGCTGAGCATTTGGGCACTCTTCCCCAACTTGTAACAAAAATGTTGCCATATTATGTGACCTTTTACAAAATAATAGATGATTATAGTAAGAAATAATTGTTGATAGACTGCAAACAATTAATTGACATATTAATTGGAAAGTTCATGAAAAAGTATACAAAACTGGTATAAAAAAATCTCATATCAGAAATCCTACCAATACTTGCAACATATTGGAGAAATCATAGTACAGTAGAGCATCGATTATCCGAATCAATTGGGAACTGGGGTTCTTCGGAAAATTGATTTTTCGGATAACTGATTATGTACGAAAAAATACATTATGAATATAGTATATTAGTACATCCCATGTTTAAAATTTTCTCCATTGCATGTCATGTCACGTTGAATTTTCATTGATGTTAAGCCTAACGAAAATTTTTATAATAATAATCATGGCTATTGTATCATTAAAAATTATTGTGTTGTGGAAAATATAAAAGCAAAAAAAAATTATACTTTAGAAGTTAATCTAGTATCAAAAACATTTGATTCAACACGACACAATCCAACTGGAACACTTTTGGTTGATCGGCATTCGGACAATCGACACTCTACTGTAGTAATAAGCTAGACAGATTTACTATCTTGCATGATTATCACATCAAGTGTTGGTGCACAACCTGAAACAAAAGACAGTGAAAATGAAAAAAGTTTCACCATCCTAAAACATCTGAATACTGAAATCAAAAATGAAAATTATGTTTGTCTGTTATTTTTGTATCAAAAAGGATTAATCCATTTTTAGTCCAATCAGACAGTTAATGAAGATAATTTTACCTTAAAGTGTTGGAAACATTTCAAAAATATATTGTTTTTGTCTGTCCAGAAAGTGCTTCATTCTTGATCTTTTAGTGCTTCAATGTATTTCATGTTAAAAATGAGAATTTCTGGCTGCAATGTCAATCACTACTACTGGAACACCTTTCTATTCCCCAGGTCTATTGTCCCATGATTTATTTGTTTCCTTGAATCAAAGAATTTTGAAGGGAACATACTTTAAGAATGTTTCTGCTATCTAAAGTAACATAAGGTTTCTGAAGGAATTATCAGAAAATAAATTCCAAAAATCTATGGAGGCAGGAATTTAATATTGTTATTCATGTATAGAACCTAAAGGAGAATACTTTAAGGACAATGGCCTGTTCTTTTAGCAATACAAATTTTTTCAAGCATTGAACCAATAAGAAAACTTATCATCACACTTCATATTTTGAAGCATCTTGCAAATGATTTTTTCTATACCATAGTATTGATCACACATATTTTACAGACGATATATGTGAAATCATTATTACTTAGAAATTCTCAATGATCTATTGAAAGATCAGAAGTTAAGTTAATATTTTACTTCCAGTCACATAGTGGTGAATTTTTTCCTATATTTTGTAAGTACTCGGTTGCTCCATTTATACTAACTTCATTTATAATTTCATTGATTTACATATTATCATCAGTGCAAATTTAAAATAATCAAACAGACTCTCAACAGTTTTCATCAAAAATTATAACGACAAAATGAAGTTTGCTGCAAAGAAACTATTAAAAGGTAAATAGTTATATTCAATTGATAAATGACATTAAACAATAAATCAATGTTTAAAATTTGATCAGGTTTAAGCTAGTCAGGTGTCTTGCTGTTATTAAGATGAAAGATGGTAGCATGAAATAGGAATAGAACAACAAAAATATTTAATTACAAAAACTGACAAAGAAAATAAGCACAATAATAAAAATTAATATTAGTATCATATTTCTGTTTGTCTTTTTAATTTTGCAGTTGTAAATAGAAAATATAATACAGTAGAGTCCTGAAAACTCGGCACTTTATAACCCGGCCATACCCAGGCAGGGCAAAAAAAAAAACCTACTTAATTTTCATTATAGACAGCTTTATGCCTCAAAGTATTTTTCTGAGGTCTGTCTTGTCAGGTAAATTACTGAACACTGTATATTCATTAATTTTCATTTTCATGTAGTAAAGGCTCTATGCCTTCATAAAGGACGTACTTTTCCTTTGTTTAAGGATATTTGGGCAGTTTATTCTCTGTTGTATTCTCAAGCAAACAATACATACAAGTACAGTACAGTATTTTCTGAGGAAACACTCGTACAGTACTTATCCTTTTTTAACCCCATTCCCTATAACCTGACATTTTCACAAACTTGGCCACCCTTCGATCCACATTATGCAGAGTTTTCGGGACTCTACTGTATTAATAAAATTCCACTTACTTAAGCCTGTAACCAATGTGAAACAGTAAAACTCTAAAGCACAAACGTTTTCTGAACACCTTCCATGTTCTTCCTTACGTATTCTAGCTGGATTCTTTTTTTTTTATTTCTTTATTCTGGAACACTGTTATGAAATTTTAAAATTTCATAATGGTGTTCCAGAATAAATACATAAAAAAAAATCCAGCTAGAATACCTGAGGAAGAACATGGAAGGTGTTCAGAAAACGTTTGTGCTTTAGTTTTACTGTTTCACATCGGTTACAGGCTTAAGTGGAATTTTATCATACAACCCGGTGTGCGTGTAGGAGTTATATATAATATTAATGCCATTTTATTAACTACTTGGCATAAAATGAATCTATTTATTTAAAAATCAATTCCAATTTGACTTAATCTTACAATTTATCAAACATTGAAGATGATTTTGTCTAGTATTGTAATACAAATATGAATAAGATCTATCTTAAGGTATTAAATTTTACTTTAATATATAAAATACTCTATATGAATTATGTGTAAGAAAAAAGATTACTTGAGCAGAATCAAAAATATAAAAATCATAAAAAAAAAATTATAAATGCATCTATGTATTAACAATTACAAAGCCTAGTAGATAAACAAGTGCACTAAATTACTTCACATTTTGATATCTAAAAATTTATTTTTGCTTTGACAAATGGTCAACATCAAAAATCATCAGATAATTATAATTTCTCATATTTAATGTTATCCAGAGAACTAATGAACTGATTACATTAAACCTGAGTATATTTCTTGGAATATGAAAAACAATTTTTGTCATTATATGGATTTCATGAAAATGTAAATGACTTACTATATGAAGATGCCAACAGCTCACTCTATTTAGATAGAAAATATTATAAAACAAGCCACTAATTTTATCAGGTAATATTTTCCTAGCAAATTCTATTATTAAGATGGTGATAATAAAAGTCAACAGTTTGGGAAAATTGTCATCTCATTTCCATCATTCCAATAATAATCTGACACACTTTAAACAAATGATTCTTCCAAAAATCACAATGCCACTTGTTTTCATTTCTATCATGTTCTAGGTAACATTCATTGCTATTCAGTTATTATATTTTATATAGTCAGTAATAATTAAACCTCCTTGATTCATAACTATCTGGTATTTGTTTAATTAGATTAACTATCTCAAAGTTAATATGTAGAAATTTATGGTCTGCATTTGGTTTATTATTAACTCTTCAGCCAAAATTAAATATCATCTAAATCTGCAATAAAGATTCCCATTTTTCAGAAAAGTATTTCTAAATATTTATCATCAAAAAATACAATAATTGCAATTTTTACTAATTACTTATGAAGTAGAATACTTACAAAGGACTATTTTAGATACTTACTAAACAATTTCCTAAACAAACATTTTTCTAAAACACTAACAGTAGTTACTTTCTAATGAAAGAATTTTGTAAAATGAAATTTTTGGTATTTAAAAAATGAAGTACAAATTACTTCGTGTTTTATTTATTTATTTGAGACTGAATACAGAATAAAAGCTTTGTTAGCATTGACAATACTCACTGTTTCACTCTACACAAACATAAGACACTTATGGACATTTAAGGCACAAGTTGCCAGGCCAGATAAATATTGCCTGCTGTATTTGAAGCAATATACTGTTAAACAGCACATTTTCATGTCCTATAAACATTAACAGTTACAGCAACAAATTAAAAACACTGACAATCAACAAAAATTGCAAAACAAAATAAAAATTCTTAAATTGCAAACTGATGAAAACAAATATTCAAATATATGTCATATATTATTTTTGATAAAATAGGTGTAATAATAACATTTATTAATAATGTGACCTAACAGCTTGTGCAAAACCACCCCATATCTAATTTGTATAATGAAATCAATGTCTAAACACAGCCAGGAAGTATAGAAAACAGTTATGAATGAGATGTATTACAATTAATGATTTACAAGTGTGAATGATAACCATATGAACAATTAAATTTTTCATTTGTATTTACGGTATTTCTAAATTGATGCAAACAATCACTTCCAATGTTTCATCTATAACAACTGACATTAAACATTTTAATAATGTACATGATGATGTTACAACAAGAAATAAGATATATTGGTATGATCAGAGTTATGATGAAATAATTGTACCTGGTTGTATTATATATTCACGTTGGTGCTCTTCCACTATCACTTTGACTTTTTCCTTCTTTGCCTTCCTTTTTTGTTTTAGATTTTGCTTCTTCTTTCCTTTTCTTTTCTTCTTTTTTTTTGTGACCCTTTGACACATCAACAGGTACACCAACATTCACAGAAAGCTGTTTTATTTCCACATTGTCTAAATGCCCTTCTGGATCACTCTCAGAACTAAATTTTTTCCTTTTTATTACTCGCCCACTTCGACTTTGTTCTGGCTCTCCTTTATCTTTGTCTTTGTCCTTATCTTTATCTTTCTTCTTACTCTTTTCCTTATCTGATTTTGATTTCTGAATAAAACAAAATTTTTATTTTTCATATTATTGAAATAAAATTATAAAAAATTGATATGTATATTTTAAAAATATAGAATAACTGAATACAAATTAATACTTAAAAACTGACAAAATAAATAATTCTTAATAAATGAAATTAAACAGAATTCCTTCCTTCAACTAATTCAAACTGAATAATCTGAAAATCATTTTTGTTAAATTTTCTAATTTTAATATTTTTTTCTTATTGTCTTTAAAGAATAATTGAAAAAAGTTTAATTCTTTTACTCAATAACAGTATATGACAGGGCTGTCCAACTGGCGGCCCGCCAAATAATTTTTACGGCCCGCGAGTACATTTTACTATGAATAAATTTATGTTACTAAATTATTATTATTAACCCTGCGTTAGTGCACTGAGTTTTTTTTTGGCATTAGTGCAGTGGGGCGTTTGTCCACCCCAACATTTTTTTGGGTCCATAAACCATGTAAGTAAAAATTCATAAAGATTTACTCATTTATTTGGTAAAGGCATGTGTCATTATACATATGATTATATTCAGGTATGATTACATATTATATTTGTACATAAATCCATGAAAATAAAAAACAGCATTTATCAAAACTCATTACATTAGATCTTATTATTAAACCAATAGTAAAAATCTAAATTGTTTTTTAAGCATTTTTGTCACTCTGATTCAATAGCTGACATTGTACTTTGGCACTCA